CTAGCACAAAACTCCCCATGATTGTTGACAATTTCCTGTGAGGATTCTTGTGGCTTCTAGCACATCAGTCTTCATTGCCGCTCACACCCACACCCTCTATATCAATCACATCTGCTTCCAATGGAGACAATCTGAATTTTTCGACTCGGGTTTTCTGTCACTTATACTATTCAGGTTTAGAATGCGTACAGAAAAACTGTTCTCATACACCGGAAACATTTGCCGTTTTACGCTGCTGATCAATTATGAAACTGACCGAATCTAGACTGTAGACAATTTTCCTATGATTTCTAATAGCTTTAAGAACTCCTTCAGTGGAAGTTACAGAGCAGCAGCTAGTCGTTCATCGATGCTTCTTCGGAGCACCACTCGCGGCTAGCCTCCACCTTCTCCAGTACACACTTCAAAATGACTACTCTTTTATTCAGAACCTGATTGATCCTTACTCGAAGTATTTCAAAAGGTTTCCTACTCGTACGTAAAGAGACATAAATTTTCTATTCCAACAAAATATCTTAATATCACATATTCGTTGTGTCTTGAATCCTTCGATCTTCGTAGACATCACGGTCTACATTAGCAGTAATTAGTTGAATCCTAGCGGTGCATTATGAAACCACTCTTCTAGATGTTTCGAAGGTCTCTCCAAAAATGTATCTCGGGGAAACCAGCCATAGCAGCGGCTAGTCATTCGTCGGCGCCTCTCACGACTGGCTGCTATCTTCTTCCAATCCACGCTCCGAAATGGCTGATATTTTATTCACAATGAAGCGAAGCTGCTTTTGGAAAAGTTTGATTCAAATATTGAATTAGGACGAGAAGATTCTTCATCGGTAACGGAAAGTTTCACGACTTGTGAGTGAATATCCATAGGTAGAATATGCTGCGTTTCCATTGAATAAACTGATAGATGAACGTATCGAAAAAGAAAGATTGTGCACAGCAGATACAAGTTCACAGATATCACTGGCTCATTTTCTATATATGAATAATGATTGGGTCAGTCGCTGAGTCTTCATCCTTCGTCGATTGATTGTAAATCTTTGATACACCAGAAACAAAACGAGACGCTGAAACTTTCGAAAAAAGGAGCAGAATTTCTGAAGTACTTCTAACCCGGAAAAACCGTTATCTCAAATTTCCAACGCAAACAAGGTTGATGGCAGAACACTCACAGAGTAAGCCACCTCATTCAGTACAGTCTTACCACCAAGAAAATCCTTCTTACTACAAAGCTCTACCTTGAAAATATCATATTCACTAAACTCCATCGTAAGAAAACCAATTTTAACAACTATATACGCCGGAAACACGATCGCGACGTAGTATTAAAAAGATGTCTCTGCTTTGGCACATAGGCAAAATATCCCATAATACAGATCTTCTTTGTATTTCGGATACACGTTCATTCGTTTTCTTTCGCTTCATATATATGTATATATGTATATATGCTTAACTATAACTATGTCTTTCTGTCATTCTCTGAACTACTTTCCTAAGCCTGTTCTTTTCTTTTCTTTCTATATTTTCGTTCTTTCTTTCGTCCAACAGTTCTTGTTTGCCTTTCTTTTATCTCGATTGTTTTCGACTTTTTTCTCTTCTTTTGAAAAAGTCAAGAATACGTTTACTACCCCGATATAAAGACCATGAATATATATGCATGATTGTAATTTAGCATAAGAGAGATAGCAAAGCAAAACATACTAATATATTTATGGATAGTTCCACAAGAAGAAGTTAACATTATTACTGTCGCAAAAACGTATATCGGTAGAGTAAAAACTAAAATAATAGTAAGCAAAAAACACACACATCAGCCCTGTATATCGAAAATAAGAGATCCATAAATCAATTCCACTAAGTGACTCAAAACTTCCGACTAAAATATGCAGACCCATTCACCCACCACTTCTATTTCGAATTCTCCGTCATTCGATGAAAGCCAAGTTTGCTATTTTCCCCAAAACTCCTTCCTTTACCCGAAAAATACGACTTCAAAACTTTGATAATCTACTTGCAGATTCGGATTCCCCGACCTCGATCTACTTTCGTCATGCTCTCTAAAAAATCACTATATTTACTTGAACACGTGTCCGAACACGTGCCAACAAACATACACACTCACAACCTCATTTATTTCATATGATGCTCTCTTCAATCGAGGCAATCAGTGTATATTTTCTCATTGCAACAGCACAAAACACAAAGCTAAGTAAAAAAAAGGGGAAAGAATATATGAAGAACAAAATATATGTAATGATCCGCTGATGGAGAAAAAAGACTGTCTATTTGATGAAAATGTCATACTCCATTGATTCACCTAAACATACGTTTCTTGATGCAAACCAAGTGATGTTGTTAGTGATATATACAGAATAAAACTAACAGCAAGAACACAAAACAATTTGTACACTTCAGCATCATTGTTAAAGAATAGAAAAGGAGTATATGTAACTTTATAATACTGAATTTTATTTCCTTTGACTTTCGATGTTTAATATCATTCAGAAAATGAATAATGTGTTAGTCGTGCTTCCATAGCTCGATGGTTAGAGCACTGGTCCAGATAACCAGTAATCATATCATGGGTTCAATTCCCGAACGAAGCATATCATTTATTTTTCTGAATGATATTAATCATCGAAAGTCAAAGGAAGTAAAATTCAGTAATTTAAACTGCAGTATCACCTACTACGTAAGTATCTCTAGTTTCCAACATTATTAGACTAGTGATAAAATTAAAGTTGAAAGGAACGAGTGGCTACAAGAAAGGAAAAAACGACAGGACGTCGGCATGTAAAATTTCTATGACTAGAAAGTAATTTTAAGAGAACTCTGCTTGATGATATTCAAGATATGCAATTGATTCTATTGATTGAAGTAACTCTCACACGTAGAATAGTCTTACTTCAAAGCATGTAAGGGTATGAGTGTGGGAGTTAGTGTGAGAGAAGAAGATATCAAGATTCACACCAAACTCACACCCCCACACCATTCTGTCAAGAATTGAGAAGAAATTTGTTTTCTATTATGACTGAATTGACCTTAAATTTTCTTGGTGAAATCCAAATAGTCGTCACAAGTTTTGACTATCCATGAAAGCGAAAATCTATGAATGAAGGAGAAGCAATGCGTAATAGGAGAAAGATTTATTAGATGCTATGCATACTCGATTGAGATGGTAAGCAATTCATAAGAATTCAAATATAGACCAAAACAAAACTCCATGAATTCGGTCCCATGTGTATTTTTTCTATGTTCTGTCATGAAATAAGACATGCTCGAGAGTAAAGAAAAATAGTCAAGCAAATGAAACATTTATGCGTGCTCTTTTACTGAAGATAAAGTAAAATGCTTCATGTGCTTGAATAGTAATCTTTTGAATGTCACGAAAGATCTACCTGCAAAATTGAATGTCGAGAGGGAAACAGAAAGAACGAGAAAGGCAACTTTCATCGCTGCAGTGAGAAATTTGAACGATCACATTAGTGATTTCGCGTCAAACAAACAAAGTGAGGGGTTGCTTCGAAATATTTTGCGATTGTTCATTTTCATTCAAAGTTTCATGTTAGAATATTGTGAACCACAAAAAAAAGTGAATATGACTAAAGATATTCCTATTCTCAGCAACGAATAGGTGTTTTGACAAACTGAAAATGCTGAAAGAGCCTCTGCCACTTCTGATATCTAGGCTACAAATATCAAATCATTCGACTCCCTTCTATTGAAGATGCTGGCACATTACTACATAATGAAGAATGTTACTGTTAACCATTTTCTGTGCGATCGATTATATAAATCTTCTACGTTCTTGACAGGTTTGAGACATTCAAGAAAAATGTCGGTAAAAATGAGAATGATGGATGATATTCTTGCAGAAATCTATTTCAAATAGTCTTTTACTTGATAGAAAACAAGCAGGGTACCTGAACAGATATCGAGACTGTTCCTCAGAAAAATTTCTCCTGAAGTTTTCTCTCAGAACTTCTTGTATGTGTACCTTGACAGAACGATAACGAGTCGATAGCATGCTGGATGCTGTGAATGTATCCACCTTTGATGTCTGATAATGATCAGAATGTGTCTATATGGCTAAGTTTGCGTGGTGTTTCAAGAGTTAGATATGCAAAACTTTTCTAGATTATGCTTATTGAGATACAAATTCTCACAATTAAAATATCGTTTTTTTTAGTGGCTCTACTAATCAAGCAAAAGCTTATCTAGAATCAATTTCTATGAAAACATCACGTGTCATTTTCTTTTTGAATGATATTGTTGCTGAATATTTCAGACGTGTCATAAACATAGAGAGTTTATATGATCAATTGTACAGAAAATTTTTGACCTTGTATTTCCTCATTTTTACTAGTTATGTGTAGATATCGCGAACGCATAGAAGTCGAATAGTCTGATATTTGGAGTACAGACACTAGGAACGACAGCAGTTCTTTGACGTTTTCAGTTTCTCAAAGTATCTGTTCATTGCTGAATTATGATCAAAACAAAAAATTGTACGAATAATTTTTGCCACCACTGTATATACGCACATATAATACCTGACGACGCAAAAAATAACGCTCCGTATTCTTTATTTGATTGTCATCTTTTTCTTATTTTTTCGTTCTTTCTGATTCTCTCTTTCCTTTCGCTCCGTTTTTCGATGAGCGTTGGGCATCTTCGTTGTTCGGAGAAGTTTCATGATTGTAATCATGACTTATGTCCTCTGTTGCTCGTTTTCTCTTTCGTGTTTGGTTCTGTGATATGCTCTCTCTCTTTTTCATTGCATATGCTGCAATGTAGCTCTTGGTGAGATAGTATATTGATGAGGCATGTTTTACTCGCTGTTGCTCGGATATGAAGATGCATTCGTTGTTCGATACATAAAGAGAGCGCGAGAGAAAATCATCACAGTATATTTTCACCTTCCAATGGTCGACAGGCATGAATCAACACAGATTTTCTTTATATTCAGAGAAATTTCAAATTCTATACAAACAATCATGAAGTTACCTAGTTGGCTCTATGCAGATCATTTGGCTAAAGATCTTTCTGGACGTGAAGCCTTTTTAAACAATGAAGATTTGAAACCAGTTGAATGTGAGCGACGTCTTTGGGGACCCGGGAATTTCGTTGCATTTTGGCTTGCTGATTCAATTAATATTAATACATGGATGATTATTTCAAGTATGGTAGTTGGGGGATTGGCCTGGTGGGAAGCATGGCTTTGTGTTTGGATTGGTTATACAATTGTGGCTATATTCATCTGTCTATCTGGGAGAGTCGGTGCGACATATCATATTTCATTCCCAGTCGTCAGTCGATCATCGTTTGGCGTGTTTGGTTCACTCTGGCCTGTTCTCAATCGAGGTTTTATGGCGTGTGTCTGGTACGGTGTCCAAGCATGGCTAGGTGGACAGTGTTTTGTACTTATCTTTCGGTCTATCTGTCTTTCGTACGAAACATTACCGAACACTCTACCAGCATCATCTGGTACGAACACACGGGACTTCGTTGGTTTTATTATATTTTGGACACTTTCATTGATCGCGATCTGGTTTCCCGTACAGAAAATACGAATTCTATTCACTGTTAAATCAATTGTCGTACCCGTTGCAGCCACAGCATTTTTTATCTGGACCCTGGTGAAAGCGAAAGGTCTTGGTCCTGTTGTTCATCAACGAGGTACACTTACAGGTAAGCATGCACAGACACAGTATGATATCGGAATAGAGATTCGCTGATATTTTGTCGGTTGATGAAAATCAACAACAAATTCTGAAAATTTGATAAAGTTTATTTAAAATTTCATAAGATTCTCTTTGTTACAAAGGATGAAAATACGCGTTTGAGTGGAGATCCTGTCGTATTTTTCACATATGTTATCCTAGATTCGTACAATTTTTCTGCATAGGTTTTTCAATACACGCATTTGAGCAGATAAAATAAACATCCATTGCGTTTTTTTTGTAAGCCTCTGTCAACTAGCACGTGAGTGCTTGAGTGTTATAGCATAAAATACTTTATATCATTGTGAAAAAAGCTGAGTTCCTCTAACTCTTTCGTTTAAATTGGAAGAGCTGCAAAAAACGTTGCGAAAATAAGGAAAAAAAGCTCATGATATAAAGAATGGAAATATGGTCGAAATAGCGAAAAATAAAATCTGTTTTATCAGGAATATTTCGTTAGTTACCAAACTTTTATTCTTTTACAAGACTTGGCAGAGAGATGTTTCCACCGTAGTAGTTTCACGAAACGTCGTTGAAACCACGGTAAATCATTCTGATCAATCTAAAACTAAATACACTAGAAAGAGAATGTCGAGTTTCAGAATCTCGGTAATTTTCGAAGTCTCAGAAATACATGAAAAATCAATTGTGTAATATTACACAAATCCTATATTCATAAAGCTTTCGCTTCTCTATACAATCTATAAACTACTAGAGGAGCTTTCCGAAATCAACTTACCTATTCTCTGAAAAATTTTTACTGCGTGATTAGGAAATCTAACAAGAAAATCAGAACCGTGGTATTGGCATGAAATTTTGAAAAAAGATTACCAAATTCTCAGCAACTACTTTTCTCGATGCTTATGTCCGATAAATATCGGAGGATGATAGAATATAAAACAATACTTCGTTATCATATTGTGACGATGTACGCCTATTTTACAGGTAGTCTACATGCTTGGTCTTGGATGAGTGGAATTATGAGTTGTATTTCAAATTTTGCCACACTTATTGTTAATAATCCAGATTATACTCGCTTTGCTACCAGTCCATCAGCAGTTTTCTGGCCACAAATACTCACTATTCCAATCAGCTTCTCCGTCACATGCTTCATCGGCGTAATTGTCGGCTCATCATCAAATGTGATCTTCGGCCAAGCTATTTGGAATCCACTAGATCTCCTAGGCAAATTCCTTGACAATCAGCCGACAGCTGGAACACGTGCCGGTGTCTTCTTTATCTCAGTAGCATTTGCTCTAGCTCAGCTCGGTGTAAACATTGCAGCAAATTCTGTGTCAGCAGGATCTGATTTAACGGCACTTTTACCAAAGTTTCTCAATATTAGACGATCCGGTTATATTTGTGCTGTAATCAGCTTATTCATCTGTCCGTGGAATCTCCTCGCTAGTTCTTCAACGTTCACCATCTATCTATCTGCATACTCGACTTTTCTCTCATCGGTTGTCGGCGTTATGATATCGGACTATTATTTTGTACGAAAAGGTTACCTAGACATTGAAGAACTATATTCAGGATCAAAAAAAGGTGCTTATTACTTTACATTGGGCGTGAATTGGCGAGCGTATGTTGCATATATAGCAGGTATTCTTATTAATGTGGTCGGATTTGCCGGTGCAGTGGGAGCACGTGTCCCAACTGCAGCACAGAATATGTATCATTTAAATTTCTATCTGGGATTTATTGTTTCTTCGCTTATATACTATGGACTGTGTAAACTAAGTCCAGTGCCAGCGTGTGGTCAAATATGGCCAAGTGAAATTATTGATGATAACGATAATGACATTGTTCGCGATGTCGTGACTGTCGATACGGAAATACAGAATGGTAGTAATAAATTACAAGATCAGAAAATAGTCGATGAAATTATTTATTTTTGACCAGCCCACAAGATGAACATCAACAATCTAGTTTTGAATTCTTATTCTATATATTGCTTTGTATAAACGTGTACATCACTCGTTTCTTTGCCATCCGCATCATTCAGTTCGATAATTTTTTGTAGACGTCATCGGCATGATCTGTTATAGCGCAATTTTAACGGGATCTCGTATTCTGTTATATCGGCTTTGTTCTGTTAACATGTGAAAATCTCTTCAAACTTTTGAGATAAGAGTTTATTTTTCCTATTATTATATCCGAAGCTCAAATGATTTATCTTCAGACGAAAGACGTCATCGATGAAAAACATTTTATCTATTTGTTGAATCATTTCGCTAATATCGAGTTAACGGATTGAATGGTAGTAAGCTTGTGATTTCTTTTATTGCATAAAGCCCTTGTCAATATCAACAATTTTCCTTCCAAAAGTTTTCGACCGATTTTCTTCAAAATTTCAAAGAATCATGTTGAGGTGAGTGAGAGTGGAGATAAGACCATCACCTACCCACCTACCCACCAAGAAAGTGACAGTGTCTGTATTGATATCAATTCGTATATGTCTGAAGACGACTGTAAAGATCGAAAATTTACATCGGAAAACAAGTGTCCCAACTCATCGTGTTGCAGACTGAATTGCAGCAGCAGAGAGTCAGGAGGAACCCTAAGTCATATAAACTTTGATGAGAATATTTGATTTAAAAAATTGAAAAGCATATCCATTTATGTGCAATGAAAAGAAAATTTCTATCATAAATAAGCGTAAATAGTTTATTACCACCCCTAGAACGTTTTAGCTGGCCTATCCATCAATGAATTTAATTTTACACTTATTTATACAGAAAACATCGATTATAGATAGTTACTGCCGACTTTCATCCGTCTATACTTACGGAATTACTGTGGTGTTACGTTTTCGAAGATTGAGAGCTATTCCACTGAACATAGCAATCATATAGGGCATGTCAAAATAGACAATTGCCGTTAATCCATCGTAAAGATTCAAGAGGATACTAATTATTTGAAGAGGCTTTCTTTGTTTGGGACACACTACACAAGAACATACCGATGGTTTACATGCAGCGAAAAACTGCGAATAATTTACAATGTATGACCACTCGTCCATAAACACATACACGAGCAACTCATCGACTGTTGCATTTGACCAATATTGACTAGGTAACAAAGCATTGAGCAGCCGAATTGTCGATACGTTACTACTGTGATTTAGTTCCAAGCAGGTTTGATTGTATAGTGTGTGGGTGGGTGTGGGTGTGGGTGAGTACGAAGTATTTATCGAAACCACATCCATCCATGCTACAACACCATAATGATTCAAGTGTAAATTAAATATGATGAGTCTAGTAATGTTGTTTATATAAATAGATGATCGAAGATACTATCAAATATGGTATCTGTATGTTATTCATTTTATTCTTATAGTCGAACATAGCCTTACTTACCTTGTATAATATTAATCTAATCTAATCTGATCAATCGAACTTCTTGTTGATGTCGAATATAAATACGGTTAAACATGATAAATACCAATATTTGACTGTAACAATCGAAGTAGTGACTTGATGTTTGATGCATCTCTCATTCACATGAAATCAAATAAAAAGAAAAATGTTCAATATTCGTAGTTTTCATACGTTGTCCAGCATTAAATGTAAGAAACAATCTGTTTGTTATTCAATAGAATGAATTGATCCCTCATGTCTTTAATATGCATGTTGCATACGTGATTACTACCACTTCGAACCATTCTTAAGTGTGTCAATTTCAGGTTCGTTTTCCAGGAACCCGTAAACCCATAGTAACTTGATATAAATTGAAAGAATAGATATGTCTAAACATCTCCATATGCTCAAAAGGGCGCCGAAACGAATTTTCAAGTGGATTCCCATTTCTTGGAAATGGAACACTCTGACATCCCTAATCATTCTATCAGTTATTTTTCATTTAATCATATTTTGTACTCAATAATAGTTTACAAATATGTTTAATGACTTTGTATATCTTTCCATTGCACGAGATACCTACATCACATCATATCGTCTTTGTTAAATGCTTGACTAAAAAGAATAATTCAGTATGATATCTAATTTTGCTTGCTTTCCGTAACACTGATTCGCAAAGAATATCTGAATCTTCAATATGATTACTATTAGCCACTAGGTTCTCCATATTTGAACTATTATTATCCTGCATACAACTAACAAAATCGTACTCGGCATACGAATAAACTTCAATAAATTTGATGAAGCATGAAGTTAACTAACATGAGTGGTTCCTTATTTCATGGACAAAACTCATACGATCGAAAGAAAACCAGCTTGTGCAAGTGCAATCATTGTATCTTGTCAAACAGGTACACTCATACCAAAATCACACACGGATAGAGACGCTGTTTAATATATCACTCAGAAATTTTACTTCAGGTACATGATGTTCATTAATTGCATGGTTCCATGACTGTTGAGATTATAGATAAAGATTGGTGAGATACATATATCAACATGATACTTTTTTATGTAACAATTTTTTTTTATATATTGACATGACAATTTCTCTTTCGATATGCACTAAACTTTGATTACAATATTTTGCGTTGAAAATCTTTCTGTCTTACTCTGAAACTAAACATATACTTTAATGTTTAACTCCAAATTTCTGGTATCAAATTTTATGTAATTTATCAAGTACGGTCTTTCTTTTCGTAAAAAACAATAAACTTTACTCGTTTCCGTCAAATTGAAATGTTGTCAAAATAATAGTTGATAAACGTCACCGTAACAGTGTTGCGGAAACACCTTATTTTTAAAATTTTGGAGAACCACTTACGAAATATTACTCAACTGAGCTTGTGACCGACTAAATATCGAATTTTTTTCTAGTCGTGGTATCGACACGGTCTCATCAAGGACTAATTTTAAGCCGACTACACCATTGATGGGCATTATTATACAAGTATAGTCTAGTGTTTTTCTAGAGAAAGATAGTTCTAGGACTATTTCAAGATCGGTTAGATATCAAATTGTTATCTAAAATGTAGACTGGTTCTGGACGAGAAAATGATTAAAAATTGAATAAAGATGACTATCAAGGATACTTCAAACGACGCATTGGATTGAGAGATAATTAAGTTAGTCTAAAGCCAAACCTATAAGGTGACAGATTAGATCCGAATATGAATACGATGTGTTACATACCTGCTGTTTAGATAATTGAACCGTAAGATCAAGAATCAACTTCTATGACTCACTAAATATTGTTAGATCCTATTCTATAGAATTTTATTCACCCGTTTTTGAAAATTTTCACATAGTACAGAGTGATCTAGATGAATTTAAATAAGACTCTTCTTCTAATCGTGAAAATTTAGAAAAAAAATGAATATGTGACGAAATATTTAGTAGAAAAGCAAATTAATGATTATTTAAATCAAAGGGAAATCAACTTTTAAACTAAAATAATTAGAATCCGTATTTACAATAAAATAATATTAGAACACAAAAAATATATAAATTGTTTTGAATTTATTTTACACATTTTGTGAATTGTGAAATTTCTTGTTCTCGGTTTTTGTCAGTAGATGAATATTATACTTTGTATTATGTTCAACTTTTTGAAACTTTGATATACTTTTTCATGTAAATATTCAAAAGGAGAAAATCTTTGCTTCTTGAAGCCATACAAGTAACATCTTGAGTTTTAAAGAATGAGGAATAGCAGCTATATGTACACAAATATGATCAGATATAACACAATGTGTTGAATACTCTTGGCTTCAATATTATTTTGACGAACTCATCTCTATTTAAATAAAGTCACATTCTCAATTATTTTGAATTTTCTCCTTGTGAATATTTGGAATTGCAATGAACTTGAAATTTCAAAATTAAAAAGATCCTTAATCATTCAGTCTAGGGTTAAGTGAATTGATATTTTATGAACGTTACTTGTATGATTCAATGAACTGTAGTTGCCACAATATACTTTAGCATTCACCTCATCTGATGTACAACTAAAAACAAACTACTTCGAATTTTTTTTCAAAAAAAGCAGATGAATCGGTTGATCGAAGTTTCATTCAAATTAGATATGAGAAATACAAAATCATAACAAAATGTTTCCAATTACGTATATTTACCAAATAAAGATATAATGTAATAGTCCTGATGAAATATTTTGACTTCGACACTAAATATTCTTTGTCGATTATTAAGTATGTTTTCATTCGCATTTTTTTCTCGTCCTTCACAATACTTTTATTGCTCTTTGAATAGTTCTAGTGAGTTTCAGGCAATAAATTCTAATAGATGCGATATTATGAATATCGTGTCTGATATTCTTTTCAGATCATCAAGCTAAACTACTTTATGCAAACTATAAAAGCAGCAATTAATTCAGATGCCACATAAAAAACAAATCAAATGTCATCGTTTAAGAAAAACAACCAAACACATAGACACATATTTTACACATTGATTGTCTTTTATATTCGTTTATGTTCCTTTTTCATTACATGGGCAATCCAACTACCGTCGCACATTCTTGTTAACTTTCGTTTTTCCTTCTTCTGTTTCATCAACTTTTCTTTCCTGTTGTTCTTATTAAACTTCAGAAAAAATATTTCGGCTGTGGGTGTAGGCGTACGTAAATCAATTGAAAACAAATCGATCTATATGTCTATTACACTAACCAATCTGTTGCTCTCCACTCTTGCTTTTCAGCAATCGAGTAACAAGGGAACTTTTTCAGGTGTTCCCTCGGATTTCAATGAATTTTGGTCTATAGAGACTGATAACAAGACATTAATTACATTAATTTATCATTTTTATTCAATAGATTATGATCCGAGAGAAAATAATTTATATTTTGCTGAATATTCAATGCCAATTTGATCTACTACAATGTCTTGTCCAAAGAATCGTGAAATATTTAGAATTCATTCAAATCAAAAAAAAATTGAAAAAGAAGCATGCAACGGACTTTTGTTCTTTTTACTGACTGATGATCGTGATTATGCATCAATTTAATCATTAGCTATCGATTGATTACGTTGAAGCAGTTTTTGTTTTAATGCACGTTTACACACCATTGATGTTCGTCATCTTAACGGACATTTTGTCAGATTCTTTTTCATAAAATACTAAAGATTATTTATCACAACCTACTGTTTTATATTGGGAAGAAAGGATAAGGTGTAGGTGCGTGTGGGATGCAGACGTGGGTGAAACTAGGAAAGGATCTTCCATGTATCCACACCCATACCTTTCAATACTAGTAATGCGTAAAAAGTGTTTTGACAAAACTAAGTCACAATAATGATAAAGCTTAATCTGTCCAGCTACTTTTTCGCATTGAATCGAAGATTCGAGCAAGCCTTATCTTAACACAGGATTAGTTTTATGGCTTAGCTATGGGCTGGCTGGTCTATGAGTACACATAACTCCAAATGGAACCGCAACTTCGACTAACTCAAAAGTCCGAATCTAAAAACCGGGTTAAAACCTCAACTTCTAAAGCTAAAATATTTATGCTGGGCTTTGGTTTAGTATACGTCTAGCTACTGGAGATAGAACCTGAGAAGAGGAAAATTCGATAATATTTGACTCTTGTTCTATGTCCTTTTATAGTTAGTTGAGCTTGGTAGTTCATCCTTCCGACACTTATTCAGATTGAGATGTACTCTATCTTAGGTAAACTTTGATGGTAAGTTTGTGATTTTTTGTTTATTCGAACAACGATTTATCAAAGTACAGCATTTCTGTTCAAGGTATGGTCTGTTGTCTCATTCATCTAAAATGTGTGCGTATCAGAATAATCATAGATTCAATAGAATTTTTTTATTAAGTGATACAAAGCCAACTACCACTGCTCATGATTATCTTATTAGCTAGTGTAAACTGATATGACAATTGAGTCTATCTATTTGACTCTTTATGAACTAATTATTTTTGTTTGTTTGACACTTAGTTTTCATCAAGTCCCTGACTTGTTGTTCGTAGGTTGCTTGATCTAAAATTTCAGGATTTCTCTCCTCCTGAAATCTACACTTTGCCTTGTCCGACTCCCATGATTTAAAACCATACAACTTTTCACCTAATTCAGTCAGTTGAAAGTTGTCAGGTAAATCCTCCTTTGACAATGGAAACGGACGTAAAGCTTCGTCGGCAATCGGTGCCATATGTAAATATTGAATGATTCGCATTTGATTGGAATTATTTGGATAGTTTCCATGTGGTAAACGAGTATCCCAAACAAGTAAACTTCCTTTCCTTATTGGCATACGTTGAATATGTTCTCGAATAGGATCATCTCTAGGAATTTGAACAGTTGTTGGATCTCTACTTTGATTGGAGTGTAAACAGAGCTTTTGATTTTGTTTGGTCCATGTGACAATGTAATGTTGAAAACCAGGCACTGCATGAAACCCACCGTCTTGTTCACGACAATCGACTAACGCTAATATAGCTTGCAATTTTCTTACACGCATACCATTATTTGTTGGCTTATTCTGTGCTGAAAGTGGATTATTGCTTGGTTCAAAATGACCTTCAGCTACATGTTCAAATCCGTAGGTTGTTGATCGACCTGTCAATGGATTCATATCTAAGTGCAACCAATCCGATAGTGTCTTCCAATTTTCTCGATCTTCAGTCGTATTGAGAGACGGAAAATAAACATCTTTTGTCGGTCGCATTAAACCAGCTCGAGTAACATTAGTTATCAATTCAGAATCACCAAACAATGTACAAAATACTTTATAAATATTTGGATTTTGTCGATTCTCACACGCTTGAGGATATAACCAACGTTCATTACCCAATATACCCATGTGTGAAAACATCGGCCAGTTTGAATTCCATGTTTCTGATTTATCACGATCAATATTTTGATTAAACATTTCTTGTAAGAATTTCCATACATCATCAACACTACGTTCGCATTCTTGCTCAGTTAAAACATTTGCCACAACGACTACTCCATATTTTTCGAAAAATGTCAAAATTTCATCTTGTTGTTCAACATCAAAAGCAACAATGAATCCATCATCATCAATTGGAAGTGGAGCAGGATGAAATACTTCATCGTCACCGGATGAGAGATGAATTTCTTTAAGTTTGGTGGATTTTATGTTGCTACTGTTAGCCATAAGAAATTGAATATAATAAAATAGGTAAGACAATTAGTGATAAAAGAAATGTAATGCTTAGTTTCTATTTATACTTGGAAATGTATGACTCAGTAACAACCATAGTTATAAATAGTATTAGGTAGTAGCATGTCTTCGAATATTGTGAAACGATGTTTTTCATTAAAAACGTAAGAAGAAAAGAAAGAAAAAAGAAAAATCATTGCATTACTGACGTTATCATTTTTCGTTCTTCTTTCCTTCTCTCGTAAATCCGTTCTCTTTCTTCCGATGAGACATTTTAACATGGTATAATGTAATAGTCATGTGATAGAATTAGTTCATTTTCACCGATTTCAATATCATCAAATGAGTTCATAACCGATCAGATTTGATCAAGACTAGCTTTTAATTTTGAATGTGATATACGATAATAACCAAATGACTATAAAAGAAACATGAATTTATGACGTCTGACATCGAAATAACGTAATAAATATACCTTTTTGTTTAACGTCACTAATTAAAAAACAGTTTCTTCCGTTCTATCACTTCCTCTGACGTCTGTTTACGTGTACATTGCCAGTTTTTCTTTTCTGTTCTGTAATGATTGTCGACGTCTTATGGTCCACTATTAGTCATGAAGCAGTGTATAACAATCATAAACTTGGTTTGTAGGCAAAAGAGTATCAAAAAGTCGAAAATATTTATGCATTGAAATGATTAGTGTTTCCAAAATGTTATTAAAACTGCATATATACCGACATCAAATTAATCAGATTAAATCAAATAATGATTGATTTTTCCCCATTAAATCGTTTATCAAATGAGTATAGACTCAAGGGTATGAAAAATTGTCAATATTTGCTCTTCACATAGACCTAATATAAATTTGTGTAGATCACTCAGCTTTTCATCAACATTTCAATGATGCTGATCTGATAAAATAACTAATGCTGTTTTCAGCTGACTCGGTGTTATGTGACAGAATTTATAATAAAGATATCGGTCTAACTACTAAGCCATCTGATATTGTTAATCAATTGTAAAAACTTTTAGAACAGTAAGTATCAATATAAAGGTACGTGAATGTTTACCAAACTCGATAATAAAAATTTGTGTGAAATGGTACAGTATCGATTATAGGATCTGAGCTATTCATCTTTCGTAATCAGAGACTTACTTTATATTTCTGTCAAGATAATTAAAATATATCTCACGTCACTTCTGACTTTCTAACTTCCCTAAAGCAAACTGACAATCAATGTCTGATTTCACAGAAGGTATTATAAGAATACTTTAAAAAATTCGATTTGCCAATTGTTCAACACTTTTATACTTATAAACTATAATGAAAACATAGCTAGAACACAACAAAAGTTGGTCGCAATAGAAGCCCACTGGGCTTCTTCTTTGTTTGTGGATGAGGGAACTAATTGACTTTAGATGAAGAGCAGCATCAAAATATAAGCCTTAAACGTTTACAATAGAATGATCCACATGATTGAATGAAGTCATTGAATAATCTTCCAATCACAAACAAATGCCAGAATTATTTCAAATAATGAACTAATAGCACCATCTGTTTTTGAATGAAAATTATAATACTTCTATTTAAAGAGCGTACACGTTGTTTGATGTAGATATGGCAAATATTCCTATGAGAAATAAATCAATAACATATGTTTAATTAACTTCTTCTCATTGTTTATTAATATTATAACAATATTTATATTCTCGAGTCATTAATCTAATGATGAAATTCTATTTGATGGATTATAATTATTCATTCATCATCAAAAGTTGCATGTGTATCGATGAGATCAATAAGATAACATGAAATATAAGCATTTTGGTCACAAATGAATAATTGCATTATTGATTATATCAATGAATATTTCTATTCTGACAGCATTTTGCTTTCAACTTCATTTTTCATCACTTCTTGAGACATGGTGGTGCAAACATACATCTATTGTTTGACTTTTAAATCAAAACAAAAAGAAAGTGTTAGTTGTTTTTTCACTGCTGCATTATGCAAACGGCGATGTTCAATGTTGTATGAATAATTCAAGTAAGTTAGTTTGAAGTATTCGCTTTAAGTATAAGATAAGAGGAAAAAAAATATATCTCGATCATCTGACGCCTCTAGGCTAATTTTTTTTTGTATGTCTGGTTCTCTTTACAGTCGTATGACAAAAAAACCTTGAACCAACATATCAATATCAATTGTGTGCAATTTTTTGTCACAGACAATATTTATTTATATCGAGAAAAAATTTGAATATTCTCTTGTCTGTTTTTTTTCTTGTCAATATTTTGAAGGCTCAAGTCTTCTGTTATATTATCATTGTTGAGGAAAATATCAAAGATTTTCCTCATTGATTATTATTTGAAACATGAATTTTATACCGTCATTTCGATTACGTTCACTGGGTCTTGTCTGTTGTAAGTATTTTTTCATTAGAAAGTTAATATTTTCTTTTTTTAAGTATAGAAAAAGATATTGTTTGCTCGACTTGATGACACAATTCTTTATCCCTTGTTTGAGCATTAGCGTGTGAACATAGTATAGAAAAAAAAAAAGACTCGATTACATTAAAAGAAAAAAAAAAAAAAGAAACCCCTTGAGCCGATCCTGCTTCCTATCTTACACCTCTATTTGCATACAAGATTAAATTAATTAGGCTACTAGTAGTACTAGTCAACATACTGGTACTTATTATTACTAATGTTGTCAATCGATATGCATATAGTATTATTTATATGCATACGAGTCTAATGAATGAAATAGTTTCATCGTCTCATGCACGATTGGTGAACAGTTTTGACGCACTTTGACAATCGATGAAAATGGACGATGGCTAAAAATAACATACTTTCATTCGTTCTTACTCTTGCTTTCTTAATATATCAATGAATCAATACACGCGACGATGATGTTGTAATTTCTTTTCATGCCTGAAGTCTTTTTAATCATACGCATGTGTCTTCTCTTATTTCGTTAGAGTTCAAATTATACAATATGCATAACGTTTTATTTTTCTTCATGCTCATTTTCTACATTTCTTTCTTTTTTTTTTTATAGATATTACAGGATCCACCTACATAGAAAGGCTACGAATGAGCCTTTACTTTATAGATCAACACGTTCAATGCGTGTGTGCGTGTAATCTTTTGTTGATAAATAGATCAATCAATGAAAGGACACCCATTCAGATTTCTTTTTTTTCAAAATTTTTTCATATAAAACGACCATCAGTTTAAAAATCATTATTAAAACTATTTTAAAATAATGTCTAAATATATATATATATATATATATATTTACATGTTCAGTTATGCAAAAAAACAAAATTCTCGTACGATTTATCTTGATTTAATATATCTATGAGTGCGTTTGGAAGAAGCAACGTATAGATCCCATAGTCGATTGATTATACATTTATATGTATGTCTTGTCTCGTTCAAAACGAACAAAAATTATGATTATCGCATGTTTCTCTTTGTTTTTTGCTTTTTTTATCTTGACGAGACAGATGCGCATAAACGTCATGATGAAAATTGAACATCTTTCTTTGTTAATGTACGTTAAGGAGAGAAAAGAGAAAGACAGATGTATATAACATAGTAAGTTATTATTCTCATCGATTTTATTTTTCATACCTACTCCAGATACATTCTATCATTCATTTTTAACATATCCTATTTATAACATATCCATGGTTGATTGTCTTTCATGGCATAGTTGCTATGGAAGTTTACGTTCATCTAAATTTTATTCAAAAGAAAAACGATTTATATCAAAAAAACATGCTGATCAACAATATTGTATACAAAAACAAGTTCAGAACAATATCAATAATAAAAGTAAGTATATATATATATATATGGTAGTAGTTTTATACCAATGAAACTAATTATGATTGATCGAAATTGTTTCGATTTTCTTTTTAATCTTATATACATTGACCGGAAGTATATTGTGTATTTGTACAGTCGTCATCAATAACAACAACAATAACACTAGCCTTCGTTTACAGACGAACGAAAGAAAGAATTGATCCGATTTAATCAATTCGGTTGATCATCTTCTTTTCGTTCGCCTTGCCCGCCCGATCTCTGTAATTATTTTTTTCTCTTCTTCGTAAAGATTAATACTGTACATAAAGAAAATAAAAAGACGAGAAGCTTAGCATCATGTCATTGTTTTAAACTTTAACTTGTCTTTTTCGTCTTTGGCTACGTTAATAAGTAGTGAATCCACTAGTTGTCAACACATCAATGGAAGACATTGAACAAGATTCATATAGTTATTATCGTTTGCATGAAAAGATTGCACTTGTTTCTTTATTAAAAAAAGAGATGAAAAAGCATTCGACATCGAATAGATTGTCTGGTATTAATTTGTTAATCTTTTAGTTTTTTAATTATCTCTTTTTTTTTTTTTTTTATTCTTCTAGGTAATTTCAGTTGTGTTACCAGTGATACACGTTCACTAAAAAAACAACGTAATATTAACAATAATAATAATATATCACCACAAGAAACAGATGAGCAAAATAGTTTACTTCAATTTTATATATTTGATGTAAGTCGTGAACGAAATCTTCATTTAAGTACTTGTTCAAATGATAAACGTTTACTAATTTTTTCCAATATTTCAAATGGATTGCATAAAATGGGTGTTCGAAATGGTGAGTTATTAGATTTAGTTTTATTTTAAAATCAACAAAAATATATTTATGTTATTATTTATTTGATAAAATCTGTTTATTATTAAAGTCATTAGATAGTATAATATGATTATTTACTCAATAATATTTCAGAATCATTTTTTGTTTGTTTATCAACAACGCGTAAAAACGAATTTTTTTCATTGCAATTAAGTCATAGAATACAACTGTAAGGATAAAATGTTTTTTCCCTATTTGCATATTTGTATGTTCGTATCTTCATTGAACCATGAACATAACAATGAAGAAAATACTGATGATAAATACAAGAGAAAACAAAGAATATTTATTTCCAATAATTCAAATGTTGGTTAGATGTATTTCTTGATTCGTCCATGATGAATTTTAAATGGATTATTACATTATTTTCATGTTTTATCCCAATTATGATAAGAATTAATTCAAAATACAATTGAACCATAGATTTTATGGAATATTTATAAATCCAAAATTAATTTATTTATATTGTTTATTAGGTAAGAAAAAAAAAAAACAACAACATATTTTACTATTCTAAAATTAGCAAAAATGAACTGATTTGCATGCAGATAATAAAATAGAAGACAGTTGTTTTATTGACATAAAAAGTCTTTCGCATATTCGAAGATAAAAATAAATCGAATCGAGAACTGTAAACAAATGACATAAATCTTGTAATCTTGAGAAATCTTCTACTGTTTGCTCATTGGCTTAAGAAAAATTGTTTGCATGTAATCTTCAGAACATTAAAAAGAAGCTTTTATCTCTTTCTTCCAACTGTAAACATATTATTCTGAAAACAGTATCAATGTGAATCGAATGCAATTCAAAAAACAAAATTTCAGTATAATTCTCCTACTGTGTTTATATGTGGAGTTTCACTAATGTAAGAAAATTATCCTTTAGTCTTCGATTTTGATTGATCAGTGTGTATTACATGAATCCATTTATTATTACNGGGTACCCGTTACGGGGTCGTTTTCGGACTGTAAACGATGAAAAAACGGCTAGTTTACGGCCATAAATAGTCCGTATTACCCCGTATGAGTGGATGCAGTAATACGGTACCGTATACGGTGCCGTATACGGTGAAAAAGTCACTGTAGTACGATCCGTAAAACTGCATCCACTCATACGGTCGTAATACGGTCCGTAAAGTAACCGTAAAGTAACCGTATCATCCGACCTGGGTAATGTAAGCAAATTATCCTTTAGTCTTCGATTTTGATTGATCAGTGTGTATTACATGAATCCATTTATTATTACGAGATAAACTCTTTCTGTTCATAATAAGCCTTGGCAAGAGTTCATGAACCGCTGTAAATTCAAATCACCTTGTACTGTTTTCTATGTTCATAAACCCAAAAAGAGTTTATGTAATCGTAATCAAAGGAGAGTGAGAGTTTATTATTTTACACTTATGCTTTACAGAGTACACTTTCGTTATTGATATGTCGAGTAATTATATTTATTTGAGAGAACAGCACCTGAAGGTTAGAATATATTGATTTTTTCTTCGTTTCCTCTTTTTTTTTATTTCTCACAATTTAGTTAAGCACGAATTGTTAGATTACTTATTATAAAAATAATGAATTTTATTTTAGATTTATTCATATTGAATGAGATTGAAGTGGTGGTTTACTGAGTTGGTTATTATACAATGATGATATACGTGCTCATACAACATATTCTAGTTTTATAACTCCTCGTCGTAACTATTTTATTATCTTCCCTTTCTAAATATGATTCAATGATGATATTTAATATTGAAAATGAATATGAAATTTATGGTCAAAATAAAACTAATCTTTCAATACTTTATTAAATATGATCTTGATAAATTATTTTTTTACACCTAAAAATCTCAATGATCGTTCAAAAAGAACATTAGACAATGTATGAATTACAATAAGTTTTCATAAAGAAAGTTTCAAAAAAAAATTGACAGTTTAATGAAATATTATTCAGATAAATCTATTATAATACTTAAATATTATACGAAATTATTGGAATTTTGGAATGGAAAATACATAATGGGCACTGTAAGTTTACCTAATGCAAACAAATTAAAATCAAAATATGATATTTCAATTCATTTTTATACAAATTTTGGCTTCATATCTGATGTACAACAGTTTTCAAATAAAGCTGGAGATTTAATGAACAATATAATCTGCAATATAAAGAGTAAAATTCGTAATTATTTATAACCGTGAACATTCACCTGTTTAGACAATGGAACACAATGAAGTTAAAATTTCAAAAACGTTTTTACGAAAACAAAAATAAAAATAGAAAATTACGAAACATTCAATCAAATCCTTTCTGATAATATTTTAACCAATAAATACAGAACAAAATGAGACAAATACTCTAAGTATTACCATGTGAAAATAAAATTAATTATGGCAAGCATCATTTTGATTTATTTCATGCATTATTTATCATTGAAAATGAACAATTAATAGAATATACAATATTGGATTATAAAAAAATTTACATATATATTTATTGGATGTATGGAAGAAGAAGAATTCTCTTAGCTTGCGATAGATTCGATAACTTCCCTGCCACAAAGACTAGTTGTAGTTCTGAACAAAAGGCTGACCTGATGCAGCATTCTTGCACTTCCTATACGCACTAAGTAATCATAAGAGTAGGTGTATGCCACAAAGTAATCAGCATGCAATCGAACTACACAACCACAGTGGATTTATTGGAAGTTTATACATATGGATAGGATACAAAAACTTGTTAATACAAGAATTATTGAGATCTAAAGAATGATAATGATTTCATTTAATTTCTTGCAATGAGTTACACAATTTTACTTGATAAGAATAAATTATTTGAATTTTTTATTTTCAGGAGATATTTTGATATTTTTTAATGAACATAATGTTCTTAAACCACCAATAGCATTAACAATTGATCGTGTTAAATCTGAATTTACTGCTTTATGTCGAAAAACTAAATCAATTCAAATTGGCATATGTCGTAGTACAGATCGATCTTTATATAATAATAAAACAATAAAACATTTAGGTGCATTAACATTTCATGAATTTGAAAATCTATCTCAAAATGAAGAACTTACTGAAAATCAAACATCGTCACCAAATACTGATTCAAAAAGACTTTTAAATTTATTTTCAACTAAAAAAAAATCAATTTCAATTCAACAACAACGAAATTCTAGTTCTTATAGAGATAGTGGTTTTGTTGAAACAGATGGTAAATATTTTTTCGCTGAAGAGAATTTTCAAATCTTAATCAATATGATTTTTTTTTAAATTTTCATTAGTTGATCATAGTCTTACTTCAAATTCTAATAAATATCGAAGTAAAGCATCACCCGAACTAAGTGAAGAAGATGATTCAATGTCTACACAAAAATCATTTGATTCATCTGAACAATCTACTACAAAGAACAAAAAGACAGCAGTATATCAAGTTAATATTCAATCAGATAAACAATCAAGTGGAATGTAAGTAGAAGAATAATTAGGAGTCGTGTAGTATCATTTCTCGGTACTCATTCGAAAGGATGTCCTCCAATTGATAAATCACTTTTAAGTCGAGACTGTAGACTCGAATGAACACTGAATACCCTGAAAAGAGTTGATGTTCTGAGCTTATAGCTAGAAAAACCGATTTTAGAATTTCGATTTGAAACTATGCACAAACACAGATCTTATCGAGAGTAACTTTTCTGTGAATGGTTCAGATATTGGCGCTGTTCGTCTACTACCTCGGATCAGTGATTTGGACGCCTGGATCCGCTTTATTTTTGCTTATAAATTACACCATATCCTGGAAATAATGAAAACTTAGATGAATAATATTCCTAGATGCAATATTTCCAAGAAGATGTCATACTCACCTGAACATGAACTTATTTCATTTTGACGTTTGTTTTTTCACTTCCCATACATTTACGAGCAAATTTACGCACTAGAACACCTGAAAAGAAGAAAAAAAGTATCATTTTTCTCTTTAGTTCTTCAGATCAATTACTGAATAAATATCGTCAATCTCAACGTAACAATTTACCTACACAAATTTTAACTGATGCATGTTTTGTATATCGTCGTCAAATAATCAAAAAACCAACTTCAAATGCTATGATTCTTCGTGGTCGTGAAATAGCTTATCAAGCAGCTAATTCTCCAACAATACCACATTCAATGCCAAATTATACACATGATCAAGTTCGAGAACTCTATGGCGAATTAGATAAAAAAACACGTCGTTTACAAGAAAATGAATATATTTCTCATACACCAATGATAGATGCATGGAATGAAAAATCTCCATGGATTTTATCTTCATCGATTAAAAATCAATTATCAGAAGAATGTCCTTTACCAAAATTTCATATCGATAATAATGATCAAACAATGCCTATGAATACATATTTATCAACAGGTTTAAGTAATCCACGAACAATACCAAATACATCGATAGATACAACAAATGATAAAGAAACAATTCGAGGTAGTTTTCGTACATCAATTGCTGATCGTACAACAATTAGTCCATCACCACTTTTACTTAATGTTCATTTTGATTATAATAAACTTACAGCTATATCAACAAATATAGATGATCAATCGGCTTTCTTAGACGATATTCAACAGAAAACATCAATCAATTCAAATTATGATTTAATTGAAAAACAATCTGACACAATCGATTCAGCTTTATCATCACAACGTCTTAATGAAGAATCGATAGCATTAACAAATAATGTATGTCTAGAGAACTATCTCTTTCTTTTAGGGACACAGACATCCATGGTTACCTTGATATTTATTTATACAACATCTTGTATAATTAAAAATCAAAGTACCATGGATGTCTGTGTCGCCAAAAAAAAAATGGCTATATTCTAGTTGAAAACAAAGAGTGCAGTCTAGAATATGTGTTCGTAGTTTTTGAAGCACGATATAGGAGAAGAGTTGAAGAGGTATCCAGAAGTAACTAAACAAAAAAAATTTAACAGTAGATAATAAATCACAAACTGAAACATATGTTGGTAAATGTCCTCTTTCGTAATGTTAACAGTTTCATTTTGTTTTATATTTTAATCCCACAGGGATTATGTTAACAACTTCTATACATGAAATTCATTTTCTTATTAGATAAATTCAACAGCACCAAAATTCATATCATCACCAATGAAGACTTCGAAAATGGTGGATGTTGATAGCTTAATTGATCTTGATGATGAAACAACAATTTCTTACAATACAGCTGAAGATTTTCATATGGAAACTGAACCTGATTCAATATTATCCATTAAAAATAATGAAACAACAAATACTCATTATCAATCAATGGATACAGATTCATTAATTGCACATGATGATTTTTCCAATATTATTAAAACACCAGAAAATAATAGTTCTTATGAACCATTTATAACATCTATTCAAATAAAACAAGAAAATACTTTTACGGATAATTTCTGTGAACCACTAGAAATATTTAATCATACAAATGATAACTTATTAACAACAAATCATGAAGAAAATTTATCTCAACATAAGCCATCATCAATAATTCATATAGATCATTTAATAATAACAGATGATGATATAGATAAAGATTCAACTATTGATAGTCTTGTCAAAATAAATAATGATATCAAGCAAAGACAATCATGTGTTAATCATTTACCTATTATCTATAATCATACAATAAGACAAACTGAAAAAGAATTAAAAATTAATGAAAAAAATTCGAATGAACCTTCTTTCAAAGTTGCAATGGATAATGCAAATGAACTGATAAAAGTTAGTAATCCAAATGCTGTAGTCAATCAAGTTTTGTCAGTTCTATCGGAAGAATTAACTTATGAACCATTTAATGAAATTAATAATTTAGACACTATTATTCATGAAGCTGAATCATTAGTTGAACAATCTATTGAATCTGAACAAAATTTAAATGTACTACAATCGAATCCTTCATCTATTAATAATTTATCTCAAATATTTAACGATTCTTTTTCAAAAAATCGAAATAATCATCAAGAATTATTTATTAATGAAGAAGATAATTATCGTCAGAAAATAAGTGATATTGATGAAGATTTTGAAGAATTATATCAAAGTTATCTAACTAATCTTGATCAATATCAAACAATGATACAACAAATTGATAAAATCGAACAATATCAACATATATTAACACCTATAAGTGAAGAATCAATAACATTAGTTGAACGTGCTAATAATGATAAAGTTATAAAAACAAATAATAATGAACAATTTTGTTTAATATTAACTGTACAACGTCAATTAAATCATATTGGACATTATGGATTTGAATTAGAACAAACAATAGATGGCAAAATAACAATTTCATCAATTATTGATTCAAATTATTGTCCAAATTTAAATGTAGGTGATGAAATTATTGCTATAAATAATAATTCAACATTAATAACACTTGAACAATGCCATTTATTATTTCATTCATTATGGTATAATCAATGTGAATATGTACAAATAATTGTTAATAAACCAAACTACATTACAATAATACCAAGTAAATAAATATGAAATTTAAAAAAATTAAAACTGATGATCTTCGATTGATTTCGATTTTTTCTGGGTCGAGAAAACTATTGCAAGAAATTAGTTGAATTTCATAAGAATAGACTTAAGGTTTTCGAGATTCAGAAAAGGCTTAATTATTACGGTTTAGTCTTTTCTTTATCCGTCGATCGAAAAAAGTCAAAGTGAATCTAACGAGAGAACATTTTCAACTCATATAACGAATTAATATCAAAATTTCAATGTGATAACCTTTAAAATGATATTATTTTACTTGAAACTCATTTTTGGAAAATGGAATAGATTATATTTTCTTGTAAGCAACTCAAAATCAGTATATGAAGACCTAAGAGAATTTTTCATGGCCATATTTGGAATCAGCATGATCGTTAACTCATAATTCAGTAGCTTTCGATGAGAGAATTATCGATCCATTGAAAATGTTGTCTTGTAAGATCACTATAGCTTTATTTTATACGTTCATGTCTAGAATAGTGTAGCAGCGATTCACGGTGGCACTAGTGATCACTATCACTATTGCATCTCTCATTAAAATTTCAATAGATTAACTATATACTTTGAATGGTTCATTTTGATTTTCACAAATTCAAAAAAAACTGATTTAGTTCGTACAATAATTCCTCATATCTACAAGATCATCCTTTACTTTGAAAAACCTTCGACATAAAAATAAAATAATCTTCTCACTTTCATTTATACATATGATAAAACAGTTGAATTATATTCTAATACAGAAAGCATTTTTTTTTCGATTTCAATAATATTCTATTCATACATTGATGTCTATTTATAGCTTCAGAATCAATGTCATTGCAATCAAGTTCTCTATCATGGCCATTATCCATAACAGAATCAGGTAAAGTAATTGCGGTTTTTTACCTAATAGAAATTTTATTGATTCCCTAATCTTAAGTATTGCATATTACTTCTAATTCAACCGCAAAATAATATGTGATCATATTCACATTTATAAGTTCTAATGAAATATTAAGTATTTTATTTTGCATACCCATATTTCTGTTTCGTTTTTTTTTTTTTTCGTTTCGTCTATATAAAAGAGAGTACATCTGTACTGATTTCTTCTTCTTTCCACATTCGTAATCTTGATTCACAAGAGTCAAACATAAAATGCCGACTATCTACGATATGCAACGCGAAGAAACATATACAAGTGATCCACGTACAATTTCAACTCATGATACATATGGTTCAGCAGATACAACTGTTGGTTATATGTCAGCAATAGCACCACGTCAAGTAACTGTAACTCGACCAGTAAAAAATTTAGGTGGTACAAATCGAAGTGTTACATCAAAAATGAGTGTATCACAATCAATATCTAGTAGTGCTGTACCATTACGTAGTAGTATTAATAGTGGACATTGGGCATTAGTTCCATTTACTAGTCAACGTGTTGAAGAAAAACGACAATTAGCTGAATTAAATGATCGTTTTGCTGAATATATTGGTAAAATTCGTTATTTAGAAGCTGTTAATCGTAAATTAAGTCGAGATTTAGATAATATACGAAATAAAAAAGGTATTGGTTTACAACGTATAAATGAAATAATAATACGTGAAAAAAAAGAAGCTGAAGATACATTAAAACGTATGGATGATGATATACGTTCGGGACAAAACAAACGACAAGAAGCTGAAACACGTCTTAAACAAGCTGAACAACGTTTAATGAATATACAACGGCCAGATCAAATAAATAATGCTAAAAATCAATTAAAACAATTACGAGAAAAAATTCTTGATTTAGAAAAAAAAATTGAATTAATAAGAAAAACTATTACTGATAATGATGATGAAATAGCATTATATAATGCTGAATTACAAAGAATTCGTAATGATATAGCTAATCTTATATCAGAAATAGCTAATGAAGCAACACAAAAACAATTATTATTAGCTGAAAAAACTGTTCTTGAACAAGAATTAAAAGCACTTGATACGGCACATAAATTTGATGTTGAACAACTTCGTTCAAAAGTTGCTATAGCTAATGTTGATCCGGCACCATTTTTTGAAAGTGAATTAACATCATCTATACGTGAAATACGTAAACAATTTGAAGCTATAACTGATCAACAACAACAACAATTACAAAATTATTATCAAGCTAAAGTTAGTGCATTAATTGAATATCATCAACCAAAACAACAAATTGAATCACAATGGCAAACAGATAAAATTCGTGAAATAACACGTACTGTATCAGATGTACGTGGTCGTGTTAATAATTTACAAATGGAAAATCAAGATCTTGATAGACAAATAGCTGATATACGTCAACAAATACAATCATCAACATATCAAGATGATCAACGTTTACTTAATGAACAAAAACATTATCGAGATGAAATTGAACGTCTTAAAGGTTATATAAATGATTTAGAAAAATATCGTACAACATTAGAAGAAGAAATACGTCGTTATCGTTTATTACTTGAAGGTGGTACAAATCAAGTTGGTCTACGTCATTTTGCTGAGGAAGCTGAAAAAATTATGAATCGTGGTAGATCATTACTTGATTCACTTAATTTACGTTTAATTAAAAATACTTCGGGACCAAGTAGTTCTCATAATGTGCGTGAAGTTACTTATTCAACATCATATTCATCTGGCAGTGGCCTTCATGGTTAATTATCAGTTATTTTACGTGCTAAAAAAATATTTTATTTTTTAATTGACTGAACACGTTTTCTTTTAGTTTGAACAATATATATTTCCCTATATTACCTTTACTTTAGAGTCGTGCCATTAATAAACATATATCTCTCTTTTTCAAATGTTTACATAGGTTGAAAGTCCATGAAAAAAATTTTTAATAGTATGTTTATGCCTTGTCTCATTTTGATTATTTGTGCGTACGTCGGTGTCTTTAGGCTGAGCTATACATGCATCGGTTTATTTGCATAAAATCGATCAACTTCATAGAGAAAGAATAATATTAATTTTCTTCTTTTTTTCTCTCTCTCTCTCTCTCTCTCTCCGTGTTGCCCGGTGTGTTTTTCTTTTGTAGGTGTCTTTGGTATGCACTTTATTGTTTGTCATATATGTGCGGTGGGTAACTAACCGCAGAGCCGAAGCAACAAGGAGTAGTGGGGAAAGAGAGACAGAGAGAGAGAAAAAAAGTATTATTCTCTCTTAGCAAAAAAAAACTATTTTAATGGGTATGCACGACAACGGCCACAAACGATTGAGGGAAAGAGCATTAGCAAATATGTAAGATTTCTTTGTTTGCTCTTTCTCATCGAATGGCAAAATGTAGAAGACGAAAGAAAAAGGAATCGATCAATAAAAGGGACATGTCGACTCTTTACTACATTCATTTTATTTTTTTTACTTTTTGTGTGCAGATGCCTAGTACTCGTTAAATATAATTATTCTACTTTTATTCTCTTCAGATCTCCTCGTCGAAACAAATACCAACATCAAAATGCCAGGCTTCGATGATGAATTTACAAGAACCGGTTCGTCATATACTGCATACAAATCTCAAATAACACCTCGCACAACAAATGTTCAACGTCGTGCAGGTGGTCCAGCAGGGATTATGACACGAATGTATCAAAGTTACTCTTCAACAGGTGCTAGTGGTGGTTTTAATGCTGGTGGTCTTGGTGCTGGAATGGCAGGTTTAGCATCAATAGCTGGCCTTGGCAACTTTGCTGGTATACCATTACGACCAAATCGTGGTGTAACAGCATTAGTTGCTGTTAATGAAACACGTGAAAGAGAAAAACGTGAATTATGTCAATTAAATGATAAATTCGCTCAATATGTTGAAAAGGTACGATTTCTTGAAGCACAAAATCGTAAATTACAATTAGAATTAGAAGCATTACAAAATAAATCTGGACATGGTTCATCAAGAATAAAAGAAATGTATGAAGTTGAAATGAGTGAAGCAAAAAAACTAATTGATGATACAACAAAAGATCGTGCAGCAGCTGAAGTTAAAGCTCGTGATGCTGAAAAAGAAGCAGGTCGTTATCGTAAACGTTATGATGAAATTTTAAATAGTCGTGAAACAGATCGTACAGCAATTGATCGTCTTCAACAACAAATAGCTGAAAATGAAGCACAAATTAATTTATTTCGTCGTCGTTTAAGTGATCTTGAAGATGAAGCACGACGTTATAAAGCTGAAACACAACGTTTAGCATCTGAAATAGCACGTTTACAAAATGAAATACAAAATGAAACATTAGTTAAAAGTACACTTGATACAGAAAAAATGGCATTAGAAGATGAACTTGCTATGATTAAACAAATGCATGAAGCTGATTTAAATGAATTACGTTCAAAAACAGTTGTTGATGTTAGTTTAGATCCTTCACATTTCTTTCGTAATGAATTAGCACAAGCTATTCGTGATATTCGTAATCAATTTGAAGCAGCAAATGAACAACAACGTGCAGAATTACATAATCGTTATATGATGTCCTATAATGAACTTATATTAAAATATCAAAAACCTGATCTTGATCCAATACAAACTGAACAACAACGAATTCAAGAAGAAAGATTACGTACAACATTATTATCAACACGTAATGAAGTTGCACATATGAAAGCAAGAAATGAAGAATTAAATAATAGAATAAAAGAACTTCAAATACATATTACTCAAGAACGCGAAGATGGTAAAGTTGATATTTCTTTTTGTTTTAAATTAAATAATTTGAAAATTTTATCTTTTTCTTTTTTTATAGGTAGTCGTTCACTACAAAGACGTTCAGCTGATATTGAAGAATTACGTCGTAAATTAGAAATCTTACAACGACAATATGAAGAAGTTACAAATATGAAAACATCATTAGAAAAAGAAATAAGTACATATAGAGAATTACTTGAAGGAACAAATAATCGTGAAGGTCTCAAACAAATTGTTGACCATGTTCTTGAAGAAGCACGACGATACGAACATGAACGATCAGCAGGTGCTATAGATGTTGCTGGTTCACTTTCATATTCAGGTGGTGGTGGTGGTGGTGGTGGTTCAACAGTAACTCAACGTATATATACTTCAACTTCAGGATCAGGTGTAAGTGGTTCTGGATTTACTGGTTCAATGGGTAGTCCTAGCCGAATTACTGCTAGTTATAGTGCAACACAAGGTGGCGGTGGTGTATCGTATTCAAATATAACAAGTCGCCGTGAATTTTCATCATAAAGTTAAATAATGACCTATGTGTGTTTTTTTTTAAATATCGTTTTAAGAATGGATATGTTTAAGCTAACTGTTTTAGTAATTATTGTATATGTTCGATTATCTATTTGAAATTGATAAGGAATAAATAAAGGCATTTACACATAGTAGAAAACTTTCTATTACATTAACAATAATTCGATAATAGCCGTTTCTTTAGATTGCAATCGATAATGATTGATTGAATCTAGTAGAAAATGGCATTGGCTAAGATTCGACTGAATTGTAGATAAAAGCATTAGAGTAAATATTATAATTATTCAAGGTCTACAAATTTGAACTTGACCTATTTGATTTGCTTCAGGTTACTATTAAATTACAAACAAATAAATGCCATCTGATATGAGATAGAAATGTTATATTTGCCTTGAAACAAGAAACGAGTTAAAACGAGATCAAATGAATAGATTTTTCATAGAATTAAATTGAATTTAAAAAATTCTGCTGATGTTTTTGTATGATATGTATATATATGATTTTACCTTTTGAGGGTTAAATAAAGACATATTTTAAATTAATGTTTTTGTCATTTTATTTATTATGAATTTATAATTATGAATTTATTGCAATTTCGAAATAAATAAATATATATATATATATATATATATGTCGTGCCGAAGTTATAACTTCGGCAATATAACGTTTGTCGAATTCGTTAATAATATCAGCACA